GTCATTTAACACTCAAACTTGCTTAATACCATCTTTTCCTCTCTGTTTGGATGCACTGGTTACTGTCTCACTCCAGAGGGAACAAGAGTGGACAGACTGTTCCTTTTGAAACAAAGATACACTGTACTGCCATTGTTTCTATGTCACACTTTCGTATTGGCATGAAATTAGCAGAAATCAACAAAAAGTATGCTTTACATTCTGTTAACTACCATGATTGGGCAGAATACAGACAAATTATTTTGATCAGGATGTCAATATTTGTTATATCGGAGGGCAAGTCATACCAGCTTTGTACCAGGCAAAATCTATAGTATTCAGTTTAAAAAAAAACAAAAAACAAAAAACAACAGTACGTATTCCTCCTCACGTAAAGCGCTTGTACAACTAATAGTCAGAGCCTTTTGTGTTTACTTAATACAGAGAAAGGGAGGTATTTTCTTGATTTTTTTTCCTTGACAAGAAAAAACATTTTCCACTATTATTCTAAAGGCTATGCAGTTGTAGGAAAAAAACTCTCTTGGACAGTGCTAAATGACTCATGCACACAGGTTATTTCTGTTCCAAATGGTCTTATAAATGGTATTGAAAACCTCTGCTCTCCAGTAAGTACCTAGGTGAGACACCAGTTAACCGTAATGTTTAAATCACAGCTTTGTGAAAGTAATAAATCCATTTGAAATGTCAAGGCATTTTTTTGCACTATATTCTTCTTCTAACAAGTTTGATAATGCTTTTGGAACCAAAATCTGTTTTGGTTTTGAAAATCTATGCATAATTCATTTGACTTATGAAATTTTACCCAAAAGTTAGTGAACTCGTAACATCCAGACTTCTACTTTAGTTTCCTATTGAGAACTCAGGAGACCACACCTCAGAGCATCCAAATTTCAAAGTGTTTTGTGAAAGTTTGCAAAAGAGCATAGCTACATGAGACAGCAAGCCACTGGAGCTTTTTCCATTCTCCTCTCCTACACGTCTCTTCGTGCACTTGCCCTTCCCTGTCAGGATCTTCAGAAATACATGAGCATCCTACTTTAACTTGGATAGAGTGATGCCTCAAAGACTGAGGTCCATATCTCTCACGTAAAGTGTTTTGACAACTTTCATATTTATTTGTTACTGTTTGGGTTGTTTTTTTTGTTTGTTTTTTTTTTTTTGTTGGAGGTGGTTTTTGTTTGTTTATTTGTTTTTGGTGTTTTTTTTGTTGTTTTTTGTTTGTTTGTTTGTTTGTTTTTTTGCTTTGCTGTTGTTCTTGCTTCTTTCTTTCTTTACTTGCTTCATCCTGGGTGTACCTGAAGATGTTTGTGAGGAAATTTTGTTACTGAAGTCACAGACCATAATTTCATTGCCAAAATTTTCTTTCAACTGCCTACCTCAGGTTTCAGTACTGAGTTTGAATACCTGTCTTCAGTAATTTTTTTCAGTGTAACTGTTGCTAGAACATTTATAAACTTTAATAAAAATGCTCACTATTTGTATGATACTTTCAGTCTTTTTGTTCCCTAAACTATCTGAAGAGAATTGCAACTAGAAATTTTTATAAAGCCTGAATTAACACCTTTATCTTTTTATTTATCTTAAAATATTGAGTTTGTTAGTTTGTTTTGTAATATGTGATTCAATGGTAAAAAAAAAAAAAGTAGTACAGTGCAGTGCATCAGAGTAACACTAGATGAAAACAAAAGGTCCTGTTCAACCCAAATGATTTTGTTATAAATATTCTCTTACTGAAAAGCCTTGAAACAGAAGCACTGGTTTAAAACACCTGAAACAGAGAACATTTAATTGTTTTATATAAACTCTGCAACTCAGCTTAGTAGAAACTGCATAACCTAACTGATATGTTAATATCTTAGCACAAATAAACTGTAATAATAATTATATTTTAATTTCCAGAGAACACTTTTTTCCTCCTCCAGGCCCAGGTAATTTATAGCTGAACATTAAATAAAGACATCATATGGAGATTATTAAATCTAAATGGTACAGTAGAGCAAACTTTGAATGCATTTGAATGTGTTTTTCATGAAAACCATTGATAAAGGCAGGCCATCTGATAAGAAAAAAAAGTGGTTGTTTTCACCATACAGACACTTGAAACTTCATAAAATTGTAAAAAATATATATATATAAAAATATATATAAAAGTTACTGCAAAATAAAGCATAGATAGAATAGAAAACCAGCCATATTTTGATAGATTAAATGACCATAGAATTCCATTATAAAATGCAGCAGAAATCCATTAATTTCCTCACCTGTTCAACACCACGTCTTTGCCTCCGAAACTTTTCTCTGGTTTCTCAAGTTTACTAAAACAAATGCCTTTGTCAGGAAATTTTCATAGTTCTATATTTGGCCCTGGCTTTTATTTATGACTCTCTATTCTCAAATTCATCTAGAATGTCAGACTTACTACTTCAGCTTATCAGCTTCTCCTTTCCACACTTCTGCATGCCTTACCTGCCGACAAAGATAGGATCTCCTTATTTTGTGTTGCTCATAGACATCGAATTTCTAATTTCACAGTATCACAGAATTTTAGGGATTGGAAGGGGTCTTTAGAGATCACTGAATCCAACTCCCTGTCACAGCAGCTTCCCTACCTGCAGGTTGGCATCCAGGCAGGTCTTGAATATCTCAAAGGAGACTCCACAGACTCTCTGAGTAACCTTTCCAGTGCTCCATTGCTCTGACAGCAAAGAAGTTCTTTCTTGTCTTAATATTGAATTTCCTGAATTCTAGTTTCTGCCTGTTGTCCCTTGTTCTATTGCTGCACTCCACCAAAAAGAATCCATTTCCATCAACTTGATTCCTACACTTCAGATATTTATGAACAGTTATGAAGCCTTCTCTTATCCAGGTTGAAGAGACACAGGTCTCTCAGCCTTTCCTCCTGCAGGAGATGCTCCAGGCTTCTAGTAGTCTTTGTAGTCCTCTGCCAGACTCTTTCTAGGAGAACCCGTCTTCTCTGAACTGGTGGAGACTGGAACTGGACACAGTATTCCAGAAGTGGCCTCACCAGGACAGAATAGAGGAAGAGGATGACCTTCCTCAGTATTAGTTGCTGTTCAAGCTACTACTTATATTGTTCCCATTTTCACAGGTATGTTTTGAACCATGCACACCACGTAAATGTGACCCTAATTTTTGATCAGGTGCAAGATCCACAATAGAAGAGTTTGTTGGAATACAGTTCCAGACAAAAACTACACTGATGATCACATTTCAACAAGTGCTTGGCATATTAAGAACCAACTGACTGGAGTCAGTACAGGCTACACTATGTATAGTAAATATACATATTTGACTTCCAGCGTTGATTTTTTGTTTTGTGTGTGTGACTTCTGTTGTTGGTGATGTTTGTTTGTTTTGTGGATTAATTTTCCAAAGAATTTAATGGAAGGATTATTATTATGCAAGGATTTATGAAAAGAAAAAAAAAACAAATCCACTAAAAGTGAATAACCTAGTAAAGTGATGACATGTAGTATAGAAAATTGATACTTTTAGATGTGTAAGTGAATAACCAGAGTTCTTTACACTAGTGAAGCAATGGCGTAGCATTCAATATTTGGGATCTATTTGCCCACTGACTTACCTGAGCTTTAAACAGCTACATGGGCTCTCTCAACTTTTGTTTTGTTTTCTCACAGCTGTTCTACCTGAACAGGGATGCTTTAAATTTGCTTTTACCACAGAGAAGATCCTTGCAGAAAATCTTTGTCATGCTGTTCATACATACTGTATATTTTACATAGAGGTATTTACCGAGCTGTGAGAGTTTTGAAAGACTGGCATTCTCTTTGTTTAACATGCCCTTCAAAACAAGAGCGGATCATAGGTCAGTAAAAATGTCTGAGACAAGTATTTTCTTTTGTAAAATATATCTTTCTGACTAGTCTTTTGAAATTTTTGTTCATATCTTAATATGCAAATCTTGATGTTTTCCTGGCCTCTTTTTCTCATGCTTAGACATACAGGCAAACGAAGCCAAGTTTTGATCTACCTCAATCAAGTCATTTTGAATAATGCTTCTTACAGTTAACTCATCAAGAAAGACTGCCTAGTGAATTGCTGCTAACAAATGCCACTGAATAAAAAATTTTGTTTTATATTATCGATAATACTTGTGAGAAATAAAACAAAAAATCTGAAAAAGGGTTAGCAAGCCTAAAACACAGAGAAAAATCTGCCCAGTTTGTGTATTGGTATGTGCAGTGGGGTTCAGTATGGTAATGTTTTTCTTCCTCTTTGAGTAACCCCTCTAAAAGCTACTTATAGCATCAGAAGAAATTGGTGTTCTTCAGTTCTTCTCTTAGATTTCTAGGTAGTGCTGCTGTGTTTCATTCAACATCAAACAAATGCTCCAAATACATGACATGCATTTTGAAAGAGGCAATCAGGGATCTCTACATCTCTAATAGCACTGTATGGAAAATAATGACATAAAGAGAATGGCTTTAAAAAGAGCTGCTCACTGAGTAACCATAAGAGGTGAAGCATGAGAGTGCTAACAAGCAATAAAACAGAATTATGTTGAAATATTTGCATCTAAAGGCCCCATATAAAGCCTACTGCAGTCAATTGGTTTTTCATCTTCTTTGCTGTTTCAACTGTTGAAAAACAACAATCTCCAAAGAGACTAATCTTGGGCAAGTAACCATTAGCCAAATATATACATCTGCAATAGATTTATTGCTACAAATCTTTTGAAATGAAAATCTAGATTTAAGCAACAAAAAATCTGCTTTGTAACTTCCTTTGGAAGACTAACATCTTTCAACTTTTGAGAAGCAGCTTTTGCCAAATCAGCCTGTTGTACTAATGCCAGCTTTTCTTGTAACAAAAAGCTCAGCTCCAATGTTCCCCTCTTACCCTCAAGAGATAAGTGAAATTGGACTTTTAAATCTAAACTCATCCCCAGTGAATTATTTCATCACAGGTACTTCAAAGCAGCATGCAATAAAGAAGGAAAATTCCCTATCTCTGAAGGTGTTTGGGAAGAAAAGAGAAAAAGAATTCTGGCAGGTTTCAACATTTCTGACAGCAGTTCTGAGCTCCTCAGAGAAAAAAGCAGCTGAAAAGAATAGAGAATGGAATGCAGGTAAAGCAGGCAAAGGGTGTTAACTACAGTAAATACAGTTTATCATACAGTTATAGAAATTTATTACAGGGATATCAAAATATATATTTGGTACAAATATCTATAAATGTATATCTAGAGGCATAAATATAAATCTCTCCATATAAACTCAGAGATTCTCTCACACTCTGTTGTCACCACATTCCCTACCAAATCCACATCTAACAATAGCACTACTTCCTGTTACACTATTCAAGATCTGCTTAGAGTGAATTCTTTACTCTTCCCTGTGATATTTTATCTAACTTACCTGTGTTAATACATTCATCATTCTCTCTTTATACTGTCATCCCTGTTTTATTGTCACTCTCCACAGCACATTGTTTGCATTCATTCCCAGGTATTTTTATGCAGTGCCCTGTCACGGGTGGGAAAAATATATGGTTTGTTATTCATTTTTTCTATAGCTTGTTGAGTTCTTCCATATTGCCTTCTTAGGCTCTCACATTTCAGCCTCCTTCTATTAATAAATCCTAGCATTATAAACAGTCCTAATAAAAAAAAACCCAAAAACTTCCATTTCTTCTCCCTTCCTGCAAATAAATAAACAAACAAACAAAATAATTTCCTGCAATAAAACCTGAAGTCATAACCAGTTTCAGAACATAAAATTTCCTATTTTTCTCTTACAATTTTTATCTCTTGATAGCAAACATGAGAGATGAAGGTAGGCTGTTAGGGTGTTAGAAAAGAGATGAACTAGTTAAGCTCTCTGGCCAGAACACAGCACACTCGATTGTATGTATTGTATGTATCTTTGCTACATTTGCTTCAGTTATGATCTCTACAGTGATTATTGCAGTTTTGCAACATTGGAGAAAAATGCATTTATAAGGAATTTCTGCAGCTAAACACTAGCAAAACTAATTCTAAAATGTCAGTTGAGATTTTCTAGAACATCAGCTTTGGTGATAAGCTCTTCTTCATTTCAGATACAGACCTACCACTTAATTACTGACAAATCCTCACGAGGTGGCTCCTCACAACTGTGATCTCTTCTGCAAAAGAGGGATGTGGTTCAGGGACACCTGTGAGACCTTTAAAAACACAAAATGAAATTTTTAAAGAGATAACTTGTTGGGTTGTTTGTAGGAAAGAAATAAAGAAGAAAACAAAAAAGTAAAAGAAGAAATGAAGAAATTAATTATCTTAATTTCTGATTCAGATTGTAAGTGTATTTATTCATTTATTTAAACGCACTGGTTTAAATGAACTGTTGCATGTATACTGTGTAGCACTGATTCAATTTTACCATTAAATAAAATAAAAACAAAACAGAGCTTACGTGATGTTAATTTTCTTACAGAATTTGAGATATTTCCTATCCATTCTTGTTCCTGAAACGTGAAGGTAATTTTTCAGGACAAAAACTGTAATAAAAACCTCAATAATTACAGAAACTCTCCAAAACTGTGTTTCTGCTTTGTTTCTTAAAAGTTAATAATACTATTCATACTTATTTCCTGTGAACTGATTCATTGAAACAGTAGAGCAGATAGATACACCTCAATCGTGAGAGCTATCAGCATCAGTGTCTAAAAAATGGCATCCGAGTCAATAATACACTAATTTCACAAGGTTATTTTTACATTTTTATTATTTTTTTTTTAAATCATGATAACATATGTTTGGTTTCTTTTTTCCACCCAAGAAAGAAGGCTACAAAAATAGACTTCTGTTGTGCGATATTTTCCTGCAAGTCTGGGGTCTGATTCAAGGGGAGATGAGATGAATAATAAGGCAGGTAATGCCAATACATTGACAATGCTGATAGGGTTGTCATGTACATTCTATAAAGCGTAAGCCAAAGAAAAATTCTGGCACACACTGTGTTGAAATATCAGCTTAGTTAAAGGATTCACGATCAACCATTTGTCTTTTAGCCTTACCTCACTAGTCTTGCCAGCAACCCTCTGTCTGCCAAAATGAAGAAGGGACAGCTGCCAAAGGGATGGATTTCAAAGTGCGATTTTTTGTTTGTTTCAGTTTTACTCTCCAATCTTTGAGATTTTCTCCCCTAGAAAATGAAGCACGTTGGATTATAGGATGAGTTAATCAGGAAAGCTGTTAGCTTTAAAAGCTCTGTTTAGACTGATTTTTCTGAATCTTCACACACAAACGGATGGAAGATTCTCAGATTTTTGTTGGCTTCTAAAACGAATATTTATGTATCAAAAGTAAAGTTAAGCCACGGAACTCACAGTATATAGAATAAATCCACGAGTTTCCCTCTGCCAAAACCCTTAAGGATTGTGCGCTCAAAACAGATGCGTCAGGATTGCTGTCTCTATGTATCTTTCTGTGGACTCTGCAGATTTAGCTGGAGTGTAACCCTACCTGCAGCTTGGAAATACTTTCCTTCTGCGTGTTGTTGAAGGAAGTAAATTTCCTCCCCAAGGAGTGCAAGAGAAACTTGCTGATTTGGCAGGTAATTGGATCTCCTGAGCCAACAGTAACCCAAATCCATGGATTTAATAGAGGGATAGGGTATTTTAGCCCAGCAGGGACGTGGTAGAGGCAGCAGTGTAAGAGGATGCCAACTGTCTGAGTTCTCACTTATCCATGCAGAAAAGGTCTGACCTTTCTATCAATCTGATAGAATGACTTTCATTTTGGATAAAGGGGAAAATAAGGCAAAATAAAGCAAGCTGTCCCACACAATGCACACACATCATCTGGAAAATTTGCTATAGTTGTTGAAAATGGCTGCCAAGCTCTTTTCTGCATTTAAAAAGGATAATTCGACAGAAACAGTGACTGGGGAAACAGTGCTTATACCACATGAGTATTAACGATATTAAAAGTGGTTTTTTAACACGGGACTACATTTTCCAGAAACAAATGCTGGATGAGTCTGGAATTAGGAAATTGTTGCTGTGCACTTTGCAGTCTGGTGCTCAGGCTGCACAGCTGCACTGTACCTCCTCTCCCCCTCTTGCACCCAGCACCAAACCAGCATGCTCCCCCCATTTGGTGTACCTGTTGACTGTTTTATCCTAGCTCTGAAGTAGATGTTGCTGATGTGAGAAAGCCAGAGGATAGCACCCTTCTGCCTTAGGACATCCATCTAGTGAAAGAGCAGGGAGGTCTCAAACTGAGACATATCTTTAATGTCTGGAAAAAAATTTGCCTCAGATTTTATGGCAAAATAAATTGTAAAAAGTGTTCTTCATTATTTCATCTAACTTTTCAGTCTTTCTCTTACTTCTCTATCCTAGTGGCTTATTTCCTTCTCTTCTTTTTTGTCCTAGTGTTTCATGTCCTCATTCTGTAGATGTTTATACCTGTCCTCCCTAGTAACATTCTCAAATCAAATTTCAAATTTCCTAATTAATAAGCACATCCATTACAACCCAAAGAAGGGTTGAGATATAAAAATCAAGAACTCCAAGACAAGCTTTTAAAATATCAGGATGATTAGACAAAAACCTCATCTCCTTTATATGAGATACTGAGAAATCTATACGATAAAGCAGCTGTAAGACAAAAATTCATAGCAAAGCTTTACATAACAGAAAATAGTAATTGTTTTTCATAGATACACTTGTTTTCTTAGTAAGGCTGGCTGCAAAATAACACTTTATATTGGAGTATTTGGAAGAAATGGAATATTGGAATAGGATGGAGAACACCGCTGATGAATCTCAAAACCAAATTTAGTCCCCCTCCCATGCAAGCTGGCTTACACAAGGGTCATATAGAAATGCAAATTCCTATGGAGAATAGTGATCTCAACGATAAAACATAAAAAAAATTAATTAGTTTTCATACTGCACTCTGGGGATGACATTTAGACTTAATCTTGCAAATAAACTTGTAATGCCTCACAGTTGTTGTCACCAAAGTTTGAGCGATGGCTCATAAAGGCATCCAGAATACCTTTACAAGGCATAGAGTCCCCAAGCTATTTACTGCCGCCACTACAAGCCTTTTGTCTGTTCTGCCGCAAACAAAATGGAAGATCCACAGTTGCCGGCTGTTCAACATATAATGGCAGGGTTGCTTTTTTATAGTTCACCTACTGTAGTCATGTGCAATTGAATGCATCTCCCATATACTGCTCTTGCCAATTCTATCTCCAGCAATTATCCTGTTCTAGTACTCCATTGCAAAGTACCTGCCAGTAATGAGAAATTTGCAGGTGGTTGCTACAAAGCACTGCTTCTTTCTCCTCTGTTTGCAGGCACCCTGTGGTGGCAGCTGAAGCGTGATGGCTCTGATGTTGTTCACATGGAAGGCCATGACTCAGGCCAACACAACAGAACCGATGCCTTTGTCCAGCCTGGTCAAGAGGACAGTTGTGCTTTCTCCCATCCACTATTCTCAAGTTGGATGCTGCCTTCAACAAAGGAATTTCAAGCTAATGCTGATAAAAATAGAGATTTTTTTTTTCCTCCTCATTTTATAATATCGCTTCTTTTCTGATGATCAAAATTATCTACTTGTTTTAAAAAAAATCTGTTTAAATGTAAATTTGTGGTCCCCAAAGATTTCTGACCACTAAAATGAGCACTACAAAAAGCTGAGTACTAACCACTTGCTCACATAATTCAGATTGGAAGGGACCATCTCAGGACATCTCTCATCCAAACCTCTTGCTCAAAACAAACTCAGGTGCCAGACAGCATTGCTCCAGGGCTTTTTCCAATCTGGTCCTGAAAACCTCTAGGGATGGAGGCAAATCTTCACTGAACATCATCTTGCATTGCAAGAGTGATAAAAATATTTTGTTTTCAAGCAGTTGCATGCCTCTTTTTCAGTTAATATCCACTGTCTCTTGACCTCCCATCACACATGACTGTGAGGGATATGGCCTTGTCTTCTCAATAACAAACCTGTCAGCCTGGACTGCTGTCAGACTCTCTGAAGGCGTCTATTGTCCAGGCTGAACAAGCCCAGCTCCCTCAGCTTCTCCTCACTGGAAAGCGCTGAAGCCCTGACCATCTTGACAATTCTCTGCTTATCCCTTCTCAGGTAATAAACAGTTTTCTCACAGTGAGGGCCCAAAAATGTATGCTGCGTTGTATGTGTATTCAAATAAGTGACAGGTTAAGAGGAATAGCAATGTACTGTTTTGTTCTCCTGTTAAAACAACCTAGCATGCTGTTGACCTTCCTTATTGCCAGAGGACACTCTTGGCACATGTTCAGTTCACTACATACCAACACAACATAAGAGAACTTTTATGAGACATTTCTCCCTCTTTCCTGAGGTCTGTACCAACTCATGATACATACTTCATTGTTGATGTTTGTTTTACTGTTTGTTTTGTTTTTCTGGTAGCAAGACATCAAAATAACATTACCCAGAAAAACGAAACTTATCAAATAATTTTTTTTTCTGTGAAACGGCAAGAATATCTGATGATAAGCTAAAGTATAAAAAAAATTTAACAGTGCTATATTGGTCTTGAGTAAGGCAGCCAACCTAAAATCTTGCTGTAACCTTTTATTCTGAATATTTGCATGATTGTGCTTATTCTTATCTTTTGTATTCCACCCAGGGAGGAAAGAGTTTGAACCAGTGACAGCAGGGTACTTTTTAATCAGTTCCTTTGAAAAACCACATTGGTCTGTACAGAAATAATATTAGCTATAATTCAGAGAGGACTAATTTGAGGATGAGAGGAGACTGCTGCACACTGACAAGTTCCTGTGTTAATTCTCCCCAACTTTACATCTCCTGCACTTACTTTTCTTAAATATTGTGAGTACTATTGCTTCACAGGGCTCTTTATTCCAGCAGTATCCAACCTAGCCTAAGCAGCCATGAAAACTGTTGCTCATCACCCTACCTCAAGCAAGACTAAAGTGGCTTGAAGAATAAAAGCAAGTAAAACTGCCTCAGCTGAGCATTACTGGTCCCTGCCTGTCCCTGGGATGAGTGATCACTTCTCATCCATCAGGCTTTGTGGTTAACTCTTCACAGGTGCAACTTCACAAGAGTTGTTTGTGCTGAAGTGGCCTCTTGTGGAGAGGTGTAATTCCTATCAGCTTCTTCCTCTCCTTTGGCCAGAGGCTGCTTTTGACCTT